TAGAATTTTGCCATTCTTCTGCTTAGTTTTTTCAAGTTTTGGTTTTAAATAAATAGCTGAGCCTAAGCCTAAGTCTAACAAGCCCAAGTCCAAGCCTAAGCCTGCCCACGCCTAAGCCCGTGCCGAAACCTAAGCCTAAGCCCCAGCCTGTGCCGGGTCCTAAAAATAAGCCTAAGCCTAAGTTCAATCCTAATTCTATCCCATTCCTAAGCCTAGGCCCACGCCAATTGTTTACAATTTCGCTTTTCGCTATTCTTCACCTGACGCATGCCATTTTTAGTAGCGTCCCGGTTTCAAAACAAAACATGTGAATCGAGCTTTTTTTTAGTCATCCGGAATTGCGCCCCATTTTTTCCAATTTGAAAAGTGATGATTCAGCAGGCCAGAAAATTCAATGGAAAATCCATTTTAGCGGCCTTTCCCTTACATTTAAACCTTTCTTCATGACTTTCTTCGTTCGCCCACATTCCTTCGTACGTTTTATACCTCCAATTTCCCGAAGTGCACACGCGGTTTCGAGGTGGTCGTGCTCGGCTCGGGCGGCGTGGGCAAGTCGGCGTTGACGGTCCAGTTCGTCTCCGAGCTCTTTTATCCGAGAAGTACGATCCGACGATTGAGGATTTTTTACAGGAAGGAGATCGAGGTACGTTCAAGTTGGCGAGAAGAGATGGGCCCAGGGCAGGCTAGCAGAGATTGTTGAGGAAGAGGAGAGGGGGCAGGCTAGCAGAAATTGTTGCGGGAAAGAGGAGAGGGCAGGCTAGAAAAGATTGTTGAGGAAGAGAAATTGGGCAGGCTAGCAGAGATTGTTGAGAAAGAGGGAGAGGAGCAGGCTAGAAAAGATTGTTGAGGGGAAGAAGAGGAGAGGGCAGGCTAGCAGAGATTGTTGAGGAAGAGGAGAGGGCAGGCTCCCCGAGATTGCGCAGGAAGAGGAGAGGGCAGGCTAGCAGAGATTGTTGAGGAAGAGGAGTGGGCAGGCTAGCAGAGATTGTTGAGAAAGAGGAGAGGGCAGGCTAGCAGAGATTGTTGAGGAAGAGGAGAGGGCAGGCTAGCCGAGATTGTTGAGGAAGAGGAGAGGGCAGGCTAGCAAAGATTGTTGAGAAAGAGGAGAGAGCAGGCTAGCAGAGATTGTTGAGGAAGAGGAGAGGGCAGGCTAGCAGAGATTGTTGAGGAATTTTCTCAAACCCACGGTTTCAGGTAGACGGGCAGCCATGCGTGTTGGAGATTCTCGACACCGCCGGCACCGAGCAGTTCGCGTCGATGCGCGATTTGTACATAAAAAATGGGCAGGTGGGTGGCGTCATTCCAATTAAAATTTTTGGTTTAGGTCGTTTCTCTGCCTTCAACGCCCCTTTAAACCCACCATTTCTAGGGTTTCGTCGTCGTCTACTCGATCACCAGCCAGCAGACGTTCCACGACATCAAGACGATGCGCGAGCAGATCGTCAGGGTCAAGGTGGGAAGAGGCAAATTATCTCTGCTAGCATGCCCTCTCCTCTTCCTCAGCAATCTCTGCTAGCCTGCCCTCTCCCCCTTCAATCGCCTTTTTCCAGGGTGCCGAACAAGTCCCCATTCTGCTCGTCCCCAACCCGCTGTTACTGACCTGGGTCATCAGCAGCGAAGTACGCACCGAGGGAGGGCTGGCCCCTCGCCGAATTCTGGTCCTGCCCCTTCACCGAGTGCTCGGCCAAAAATGCACATAACGTAGGTTCTGAAGACTCAGAGGCTCAACATTCCTCAATCCAATTTCTAGGCCCAGGCTCAGGCTTATGCCCAGAAAATCGTAAAAATCGTTTCAGGTGAACGTCACGTTCGCGGAAATTGTGCGCGAGATGAACTACGTGCAGAGTAGGGCCCGACAGCGGAAGGGATGCTGCCGGATACTGTAATTTATGGATCTTCCATCCCCTTTAAACATTCCTGAAATCTCGAAAAATGGTGACTAGACGGCAGCTTACTGTAAGTTTAAAGGGACGCTGAAAGTCAGACGAGGAACGAGCTAGCAGTGATTGTTGATAAAGAGGAGGGACAGGTCGTAGAGATTGTTAAGGAAGAGCAGGGGGCAGGCAATCAGATTGTCGTGGAAAGGGGGGAGGGCAGGCTGGCAGAGATGGTTGAGGAAGAAGAGAGGGCAGGTTAGCAGAGATTTCTTTTTTTTTGTAAATCCAGAAATCTGACTTCACAATCCCTTTATACTTACAAATTTGAGATTTTTTATTTGTTGTATTTTGTATCAGCCCAGAAAAGAAAGCGAAACCCGTGAGATTACCCTTTATACCGTAAAGTTCAGTTTATTGTATTTTATTTTACACGCTTTTTTTGGTCGATAATGCCTTCCCCCACCAAGTGCTATGCAAAGATTTCGTTTCAGTGTATTTTTTGGCAATTTTTTTTGATGTTTTTGTGCCGGGGCTGGGCTTTCCCATCGTCTTCTAAGACTTGCTTCCACTACTGTAGCCCAGCCCCCCGCTTTTCCCTTTTTTGTGTGTCTGTGTCGTATCGGGTCTATCGAGAATGTGTAGCGCGCCCGAGGGGGGACACGGCCGGGGAAGTGTGAAAATTTGCAGGCGCACTAATGGCTGATATCCTGCCTTGCCGGGTCCTTTAAAAGCGGCTCTTCCCCGACCCTGTCCGTCTCCTCGGGCCCTCAGGCGATGTCACTTGTCAACAGTCGTTTATTCTGTGCGCCACTTGTTTCAAATGTGTTTTATTGTTGGTAAAGTGAGATTTTAATGTGCCTGATAAAGATTTGAGGATTTTAATGGTGAAACACACTTGAAACCGCAAAAAATCTGCTATTTTGATAAGCTCCTCAACAGTCTCTGCTAGCCTGCCCTCTCCTCTTCCTCAACAATCTCTGCTAGCCTACCCTCTCCTCTTCCTCAACAATGTCTGCTAAACCCCGGAAGGCAATTTCCGAGAAAATACCCTTAGGGCACAAACATTCGTCCCTCCATCGGGTCACGTACCCTAAAAAGTGCCCCAATCCGCAAGTAGAAACCGGTCATCGCGCCCAGATCCCCCACATTCGCCGCAGCGCCTGAATCACCACAAGCCAGCCAAAATTTCTGGGGATTTCCACCAGACTTTCACTTGTTTTCTATCAATTCCATCCTGATGCTGCCTAAAATACCTCTATCCTTTATTTTCTTATTCTTATTTGCATTCACATTCTCCCCAGCCGTCGCCTGGCCGCCGATTGGAGAGTGAAAAGGGGCAAAAATTGCGTTTAAATGGGCACAGGGGAGTTTTAAAAAAGCTTCAATGATCCGGGCAGACTAGCAGAGACCATTTAAGAAAATTATCGTTACCGATAATGCCAAAGTACCCAGGAAAAATTTCCATTTAAGATCGCCCGTGCGAGACTGGGCCGACTGTGAAAGCCTGGGAGATTTGCGCCGAGATCCCGGGCACCCGCGGTCCAGCCCCAAATTTGCCAGCCAGAATTCCCGGAGGTGCACCGGACGACGGAGAGCGGTCCGGAGAAACCGGAAGGATGGACGGCTATCGACAACGGTTACGCATAATTTATCAGAGCAACAATAAATGCTACCTAATCTAATTTTGGCGTTCGGCAAAATATCAAAGAAAATTGGGAATTTAACCCCAAAAAATAGCATATTCTCAAGCTTAAGCCGAAACTTAAGCAGGTATACCTTTTCGTAGGATGAAAATGGCTAAATGAAAAGTCTCCCATACGCAAGAGCGCAAAAATCTACCCCGGAGGCAATCGCCAAGCCCAAGCCTAAGCCTAAGCCTACGCCTAAGCCTAAGCCTAAGCCTAAGCCTAAGCCTAAGCCTAAGCCTAACCTAGGCCTAAGCAAATCCATCAGATTCAATCTTTTCAATTGAAATCAAACCGTTTCAAGACAATTCCGGATCGCTGCTCCACTTACGACATGCAATTCCGCAAGAAGGGAACCTCAATATCTATCTTTGAAACCAGCACTCTCCTGAAGCTTTATTAAAATTTTGCCCGCAAAAATCTAGCCAACATTCCTTGAAAAGTTCGAAGAAACTGCGCCAACGCCTGGTAGATGCATGGATTGGTTCAATTTGGATTTGCCGGCGATCCGCCGCCGGCGATATCACATCCCAATCGTCATTTAGGCCCAGCGAGTTCTACGAGGTTTTGATCGTGATGAGTTTCTGTTCGGGAATTGTAGACTTTCATTTCTAGGATGAGACGAAACGGGCGGAGAAAAACGCGTGTTTAAGACAACCCATACCTTGGCGAGGGACAAATCAGAGAAGCTACTGGTCAGGCTTGTAGTCCCCTATTGAGGAAAATCAGTGTTTTAGGTGTCGACCCTAGATGAAGCTCTTACAAGAAACGACCGTTTGGAGATGACGATATTACTCGATTATCTGCGAGGACGAGAGGCACAGCAAAAGAAAAGAGCAGCACACAACTCAACTGGCGCCAATCGCGGATCGTGCCCAGGTTCGGAAACAATCTTGACTGACCCCTTCATTGTCAGTGAGGTCTCCCTCTACCACACTCCAGAACTCAGCGGCTTCATTAAGCGCCTCTTGCCGGAAAGGACAGGCGAATTGTTGGCCTCCAGCACATGAAGTTGTATATTTTTGACGATAACGTCGTTATCAGCCGGGTTTGCCATAGATTTTTTCATGGAATTTGGCTTTTAGTGCTAACCTCCCCGTAAGCTACTCTTCCAATCGACAAGACCGCTATATTTTGTTCAGAATGTGCCCGAAGCTGGCCAACTTTTTCTGTGATGTTATAGCAGAGGTAAACGCGGTTTCCTAAACAAGAAATGACGGTTTTTAGGTGTCTAAATCTTCTTTCGTCCTGCAACCTGATGGCTCGGCGGTGCCTCACACCGGGAGTGTGAGGGGTGCACCCGTTTTTAGGTAGGGTTTTTGGCTTAGGTAATTGCCAAAAAAGTTGCCTTTTCTAGGTGATTCTGTTGAATATCGACGGCGCTTTCCGAAGACAGATTGAAGGGTGTATAGAACGACTGAAAGTATCGATCCGCTCGATGAATCAAGGTTCTGCGGGTTTGGTAAAAACGATAATTGGATTCCTAGAGGCCGACACCTTCCTCTATCCGCTTCTCCAAATGGGCCCCTTCAGCATCCATCAAGAATATGATTTTCTGAAGAGATTGTTGAGACGAAGGTTGAAGCGCCCATTTTTACCAAGTTTCATATTTCTAGACATCGGCACTGGAAATAATCATGGCATCCGGATATTTCAACTGTATCGACGAGTATATCGAGCGAATTTTTGGCGTTGGCGAGTACGGGATGGAGGTGCTGGTCGCTGCGCCAGAGGTAGATTGTAGAATTCTCTCGCCGACGCTGTTTTTAGGCCAACGGATTTTTCAGGGCGGCCGGAGCTTCGAAATACGTGCCTAGCATGTACTCTCCTGGATCGCCATAGGATTTTCTGAAGTTTCTGGGCGGAATTCGAAGCGTCAGGTGCCATTTTGAGCCCTAAAAACAGTTCTTTGTCCTTAGATCGATCTCCGAGAATATAAGCGGCCCGGCTGGACGTTCCACGCGAAAGGACTATGGATGCGCGATGAGGGTGTGGCGGCTACATTGATTGGGTCCAGCAATTATGGTATTCATTGCTTAAGGTTTCAATTAGCTTCATCAGGGTTCTTTCGCGTTATCGAGTGTAGTCGCAAAAACTGTCTCAAAGCTTGTGAAGGTCGAAAGTTTTGGTCGAAAAATCGGGATTTTAGGAAATTTTGTAATTTCGCTACGTTGTCCCGTTTAGAACTAGTGAAAACCATTTAGAAACAGATTTCCACTATTTGATTTTCGAAATTAGATCCTAAGAACAATTGGTCCCCCCCCCCCGATAATGCGAAAGAACCTCGTTTTGATGACTCTTCAGGCTATCGTTCCGTTCACCGCGATCTGGAAGCCCAAGTACTCTTGGTCACTAAGAACGAGAAGCTGAAATCGAGGTTGAAGGAAGAATGCTCCCGTCTTTTCGAGTACTCCTCGGTGCTGGATGCGACAGCCCTTCGACGAGCCGAACACCATATCCCCTATTTTGTGAATGTTGTCTCGAAATTTGTAAGGAATTTTTTCTAGCGCTTTTTTCTAGTGGTAGAGGATTGATTTGTGATTTTTGGTCTATTAGCCGATACGAAATATTGGTGCGGGTATTTAGGATTTTGCCGATCTTTCACCGATTGTCTTTTGTAATTTTTAGGGATTTGATAAAGCTATTATTCTCTGCCTGATTCATCATCGTTGGCCAAAATTCGATTTACAATCGGCACTTGGTGCTAAATAATTATTCTTTTTTTCAGTTTATGCTGGTTATTTGGAGCATTATTTCTTGTAAAAACTTCACAAGGCTGATCTCCCGTGCCGCTAGAGGTTTTCCAAATTTCATCTACACCCTCTGTTTATAGCTATGGGGAAGATCGGCACCCATAACGGCAAATTCCACTGTGACGAGGCGTTCGCCTGCTTCATGTTGAAGGAACTGCCTACTTTCAAGGGATACGAGATCGTGAGGCAGGTTTAGTTGAACTTGTCCTGATCGCACTTTTTAGAAGCCGCGATCCTGCCGTGCTCGACGCGTGCGACGTCGTCGTGGATGTCGGCGGCGTTTACAGCCACTGATAAGAGAGCGATATGATCATCACCAAAAGTAGAGTGTTCTCGTCTTCAAGAAATTTCCGTCTAGGGACTTCGACAATTCAATGCAGTCGCTCCGTATCCTCGATTTCTCTGACGAAACTCTCGTCGGCCGGACTGATCTACGCCCACTATGGCCGAGCGATTATTGCTGAGGTGAGCGCAGCAGCTGGGCGGTTTAGTTTTTCGTTTCTTCTAGGTGCTAAAGATCGAGCAGGATGACCCGCGGGTGAACATCTTTTATCGCCGACTCTATGAGACGTTCGTCGAGCAGATTGACGCCGTCGATAACGGAATTCAGCAGTATGATGGGGTGCTTAGGTACGCTTGGGGTCTCAATTTCCCATAATTCAAGTTTAGGTATCTCTCCCGTCGGATAGCATTTCCCGCTCGGGTCGGTTGCTTGAATCCGAATTGGAATGAAGACGACGTTGACCCCAACGCAAGGTGCATTTGCTATTTAGGATCTAATTTGCCTTTTTTAGGTTCCGCCGATGCTATGAAACTAGTCGGCGGGACGTTCCTCGAGCACTTGCACTATTTGAATGGCGTCTGGTGGCCTGCACGGCAAGTTGTCGTCGAGTCGGTGAAGAATCGAGAAGCGGTGGGCTTGAACTTTCCAAAGATTTTGATTAATCTTACATTGATCCGTCTGGCCGAATTCTGACGATGGAGAACGGGGTATGCCGTGGAAGGAGCACTTTTTCGATATTGAGGAACGCTGGTGGGTGGCTGTTTTGAGAAAGTTTTCTGAAAATTTTTTCACGCTTCTGTTTTTGCGGGGGAAAACACGCTTTTATGTGTTTTATGTCGTTTATGTGAAGTTAATCAAAGTTGAAGATTTCCTTAGAAAACGTGGATGAATTCATTACTAGGCAGACTTCAGCTTAATTTGAAAATTTAAAAGTCCAATTTTGGATTTCAGGGCCTGACCGGCTCGCGCATGACTTACATGCTCTTTGGCGACTCGGCGTCTTCCGGCTGGCGCGTCCAGGCCTTATCCCCCACCGACAGGAGAGCCAACTTCCAAAACCGGTAGTTCCGAGAATTATTAGAGAAACTCTTGTTTTCTAGCGGACCGCTACCAAAGAAGTGGCGAGGCTTGAGGGACGAGGAGCTGTCGAGTGTTGTCGGTGTTGAAGGGTAGATTTTGGTGATTTATTGGGGCGATCTTTAAAATCCGTGTAGCCGCCACCTTCCATTTATTGTTTAGCTGCGTATTCGCGCACATGACGGGCTTCATCGGCGGGCACAAGACCCGCGAGGGTGCCATCGAGATGGCCCGACGGGCCCTCCCCATTGTCGACAAGGAGATGGAGGTTGTTTTTTTGAGAATTTAGATTTTTACACATGAATTTTCGGATATCCTATAAAGTTGTAAAAATTTACCTGTATTTTCGATTCGAGCGTGAGATATCGGTTCTTACGCAATATCGGTGGGACCAATATTTTGCTTGGTATCCACTTTTTCTAATATTGTTTACCGGAGGTCTTCCTAAATTTTCTAATATTCCGAAACGAAAAAACTACACGGGCGTGTTTTTAGCCCTCAAACACAACGAGTCACCAACGGGCAACACCTGTTTACACATCGTAATCGATTTCCCAAACCCAATGAATTGTAACTAGAAACCTTCTAAGGGTTATTTTTATTATAATAAACGAAAAACATAGTTCTAGAATTGATACTGGTAATGATACTTCCGTTACTGACGTGAAATTTCTATCATTTTGAGTGATTCCACCAACTTCACCAATTTTACAAATAACAAAAAGGAACGAGGGAGGAGGCAACAAAAGTAACGAAGATTAATATCTGTTCTAATGCGAAAAAGCTTCTTATCTAGTCACCAAGAGGTTCTATTCCATTTTTTGCTAGCATTTACGGTTGGCAAACCTTCGTACATCCAATGCTCGCGAATCTCTTGCGAATTACCCAATTAGCACATTATAAAGGATATCGGAAAATCGGAAAATAGATAGAAGAAACTGGATATATCGAACTGAAGGAGCAACGGTAGCCGAAGAAACAAAATCAGGTAACCACTTTACAATGGCCCTATCATGCATTTTGCGCATGCTTGAGTGCCACATCATTTTTAAACTCCCGACGAAGCTCGGCTTTTTGCAGTGCATCAATCAGCAAAGTCCATAGTTTCCATAAGATTTACTTACAACATCTGGCTGCTCTCTTTTGAAAGTCCTTCGTGATTATACGATCCGTATTCGTTACGCATGAGCAACGGATCAGCAAAATGGTCTTTGCGCCGGAAGCCCGCAAAATACACTCGTTTCACGTCAGTATCTTTTCTAGAACTTGCTTCTTCCGTTTCTACTATTTTAATAACTCTAACTTAGAATCTCTAAGTTCTTAGTTAGAATTAATTGGGTTTGGGAAATCGATTACGATGTGTAAACAGGTGTTGCCCGTTGGTGACTCGTTGTGTTTGAGGGCTAAAAACACGCCCGTAAAAACTACAATTTTTTATTGAAAATTACAAAAAATGTTTTGAATTTTTCTGACCAAGAGACCCCCCGATATTGCCAAAGCACCGATTTACGTGTTGTTTGTCCGTGGAATGCACAGCGCCAGTGTCCGTCCCTCTTTTGGCATGACAGTAACCAAATTTAAGGTCCGTAATAGTCGTAAAAGGCGCTCGAGTATAGCGGCAACGACGGCCCGCGAGGTGTAGCTTTTTTCAGCACAAGCCGCCTTTTAGTTTTTTTGCGTTAATAAACCCGACTTTTCAGGAGGAGGTAGCGGAAAAGAAGGCCAAGCTCGGCAGTGGGGACGACGCCTGAGCCACGCATGCGAAATTTACGGGATTTCACGAATTTATGTTGATAAACTTATTGCGCTCCATCTGATAGGGAAAATCCGAGCAGGGCACACAACTTTTAGGTGCTGTACTTTTAACGGGCGGGGAAGCACTTTTTGTTTTTTGTCGCCTCTACCACTTCGCTAGAAAGATACAAAACATTTCAGAATACGAACATTTTGGCCTTTTTTGGTCATTTTTCATACATTTTTGACCAAAAAGTAAAAGACTTTCGAGAAATTTTCTTATTTATTTTTATATTCTTTTATATCTAAAAATATTAAAAATGCTATAACAATGGTTCACATTTTGTTATAGGGCCGTAGGGAACCGGGGAAAAATTTGGTTCCCCCACCGGCAACAGTGCAGAACCAACTTCTGTTTTCCGCCGCAGAACACGAGTTTCCCGGCGTCCGCATATCAATCTCGCAGCGCGCGCGGTGATTCAGCACGCCTACCCGCGTACCCGAGCGCGCAAAACCGTTGAGCCGCGCTTGCGCGCGAGACTTGAGAGATTAGCGACCGCATCGATCAGTTCTCCGGGCGGCGGCGGCGATATGGATAGCCCAACCCTGTGCTGATGGCCCATAAATCTCGCGATGGTGATCAGCGCGCTGGGTGGGAGCATGTCTGTAGCCAACCTTATTTTTTGCGCCCGTCTACCTATCGGCCTTATTACCCCCGTTTTTTGAGGGTTCTCGGGCGAATTTACGGTTTTGGGTTCCCGCGGGCTGCGAAAATTTTAACTTTCCGTTCTGCACTTCGCGAACGATCTCTATCGATTGGTCTGCGCTGACAATAAGTTGTTTTAGGTGTTAAATAAACGATTTTACGACACGTAAGCTTTTTAAGTCCTCGCTCGAAAAGCGCTGAATTTTTTGTTTTTTTTTTGTTTTAATCTAGAGATGCCTAGTAATTTAATAGGAAGTATTTTCTTAATGTTTTAATAAATTAACACGATCTTGCAAATAGAAAAACTATCTAAAAACTTTGAAACTTTTTTTTGAAAAAATCGAAATTTGGTAAAAACGGTCATTTCTGGTCGAAAAATCGATAATTGTTGTATTTTTTCTTCAAGTTTGTACGTGTTTGAAATGCGAGGCATTTTCAGAATTTCAAGCTCTGTGCCGCATCACAAAATTTTGCTTTTAGGACGCAGTTACTCTGATTTTAAGTTTTCTGATGGGGTTTTTTTATTCTGCCTTTTCTAGAAAGTCCCACGCGCTGATCGGTTCGATCAGCGATAAACCGTGCTTTCCTGCCTATTTCCGATAGTTTACAAAAATCCGCCCATCAACGTCCTCCCAGCCACCGTTTGTTAGGGGCGCCCGGTGCACGATGAATGCGGTCGATTAGTGGCATGCGGCTGATCGTCATCGCATTCTACCTCGCATTTCTGATCACGGCGACGACGGGCGGGATTGGCGTTTCGAGGTAGGCGTTTTCACAGCGGGTTTTAAAGGTTAAAACGACTAACGTATGTAATTTTTGCGGCTCTTTTTCTTTAGCGGGCGCGGGGGATTGTGCTACATAGTAATAAAACACAATTCCTTTTTATTTATGATTTTTAGTGGTTTCTGAAAACTAAAAAGTCAGAAAAATCTTTTTGAAAGGTTTGAAAATTCAAGCATGTTTTCATAGATTCTTGATCAAAAGTCAATCTTTTTTTGATAGAAACTTTAGCGCTTTAGCACTATCATTTTTAGCAACCAATACTGACTACCAATACCCTTTTCTAAAGCTTACCATAGCACGAGGCGGCGACTCTCGCGTCGAGACGTCATCGACAACCTCAAAAAGGACGACCCGACGTCGCCGTGCCGATACGGCGGAATTCTCGCCGGCAACCACTGCCACTGCATCCCGCCCAACACCGGCCCGAATTGCACGGATTTCGCTTGCGGTAAGGGTGCCATATTTATAAAAAAGCCAAAATTATCTTTTTTTCGATGAAAAAGGTGGATTTTGACAAAAACATTTTTCTAAACATTTTTCTAGGCATACTAACGTTTTCCATATTAAACCAGTCAAATTTTCAGTGCACGGCAAGTCACTCGGGACGCGCTACGACCCCAACAAGCTCATGTTCGCCCAACCGTGCATGTGCGACGACGGGTGGAGCGGCGACTTGTGCGAGTACAACCTCACTGATCATGTGAGTTGCCATCTTTCTTGTCGTTGAGAAAAATCCGGTACTGGACTGCTAGCGGGCGGGGGTAATATTTGTAGTTCTGGACTGTTAGCGGGGGTTTAGCGAGGAAACCCATTCGCCCCCCCGCTAACAGCACAGTACCCAACATTCTTGCAGTGCTCGATGCGCGGTGAACGTCTACCGGACGGCGGCTGCGCGTGCCAGCCGTACTTCTTCGGCTCGATCTGCCAGTACACGAGTCGCTGCGATCAGGGCCATATTAGGCACGGCAGGTGGGTCGCTGTTTTTCTTCCGCCGGATGGAGATGCATATTTAGGTGTATCTGCCAAAAAGGATTGGGGCGGTGACTATTGTCATCTGATCGTCTGTCATTACGGGTATCCAGGTACGAATCGTAATTCGCTATTTTTAAGCTTTAAGCAAAATTCACCTCTTCTAGCCGGTGATTTTGGTACTGGGCTACTAGCGGGGGGGGTAGTGGGAAACCATATTTTCCCCGTAATTCTATACGGCCCCATTAATAACTAAATATAAACCATTTTATTCCTCATTCTACACCGTTTTCAGATAAAAAGTTATAAATAAGTTTAAGAATTGACCAAGATTTTCGATTTTTTTTGTTGAAAAATTTGTGAAAATGACAAAAAAGTAAAAAATTCCAATTTTACAAAATTTTTACAAACGTTGCTATAATTTCTAGGAATCCAAAACGAATAAAAAAAAGCTATAGAAAATAACTATGGGGGATTTAGAGGTTTACAAAATAAAAAATCCCCGCTTTTTCAGACGTCATGAACCGATCGCGGTCCTGCATCTGCCCGCCCAAGTACAAGGGCGCCCACTGCGACCAATGCGCCCAGGTAAAAACCCTTTGGAAGCTGGTAGGCATGCTAGCAGCGATCATTCAGGAAAAATGCTGTTTTTTAAGCTTTACTTTCTTTTTCTTTTTCCTTTTCCTGCCTATTTTTTCCTTGGAGAACCAGAGTGGCCTGATAAACCTATATAGCGTTTTTATATAGTTTAGCGCGTTTTAGATGTAATTATGGTAAAAAACCATCAAAAAAAAGTTTAAAAGTCCTTGAAAAAGTCGAAAATTTGGTCATTCTCGGCGGAAAAATCAATTTTCTGCTTAAAAATAAATCGTTCGTTAAATTTTTAAAGTTTTTATGGTCAGGAATGGTTAAAAGTAATACAAAACGTATCAAAAAGCTAGGCATGCGCCGAAAAACCCAAGAATGTATCCGTTCCCTTTAGGTGGGACCAAAAATTGGCGTCTACCCGAAGTGCGCCGTCAGCCTGATTCCCCGCCATGCGATGGCTCGGAAAAAGACCAAATCACAGGTTTTGCTATGATTTAAACCTGAAACATTGTCTTTCAGATCCGCTCCCACCTCGTCATCATCCTGGGCGCGTGCGGGTTCCTGGCCGTCCTCGCGCTGGCCATGGCCTACGTGCACTACCGCCGGAAAAAGGCCAAAAACCCAGAAGTAAGATAAGGAGGCTTAAGCGTAATGAATTTAGATTGAACTGGCTCGCCAGCAAGAACTCAACGAGCGCGCGGCAATGCTCACCGAGCAGGCCATGCGCAGGTACTGGCTCTCAGTTTTCATACTTTTGGCGCTGGACTGTTAGCGGGGGTGGTTTTTATTCTTCCGCGCAAGCTACCTGTTAATAATCAAGGCTATATTTCTAGCATTTTTAGTAGTTTTCGATTGCAAGAAAATTAAAAAATCAGCAAAACATTACTTTCTGATCAATTTTCATACATTTCTGACCAAAAAGTCTAGCATTTTTGAGAGTTTCATAATTTTTTTGTGCTTTTTATACCTAAAAACTGTGCAAAAAGCTATAAAAATGGTCTATGTTTCTTTACAGGGATGGGTTGCTAAGAAAACTTCGTTCCCCCGCTAATAGCCCAGAACCATTTTTGTGTTTTTATAGGCAAAACCCGTTTAAAATACTATAAAACGGTCTATGTTCCGTCATCAGCTTACTGGCGGGAAAGCGGTCGTTTCCGCTTCTCTTAAAATCCTCTGAAAACTCGTAACCCAACTTTTAGCGCTCTTCCGGGACCGCAACGAAAGCGCTCTCTGCTTGGGACTTTCCAACTCAGAAGGTTGATTTCGGCAATTATTTAAAGTACCGCTATTTAGAGACTTCCCCAGCGAACGGCGCTCTTCCGGGGAGCGACGCCGCTCGTTGCCCTATCCATTCGCTACAAGGCCCCGCCGGGCAACGGCTGATGATTAGGGAACGATACCTTAAAGGTATCCGATTCTGGGAGGACGACAACGTCAAGCCGAGCTTTTTTTTGAGGGGAAAATGGCAAAGCTTTTCTGGTTCTTTAGGATTCCCGGGCGGGCAGAAGTATCAAACTAAGCGCCATCACAATTGATCTCGAGTTGATAAACGAAGTTTTTACCTTGTTCGGACACTGACCGGAAAATACACGCGAATCGGCCAGCAAAATCACACAAGATCGATTTTTTTTAACGACCCAAAAACAGGCTCTGATCTTGGAGCTACATTTTACCGGCTGCAATTTAGCATATAATGTTTGCGTAACTAGGCTACAGCAATTTAAATAAATATCCAAGTATTTAAAGGATTCCACTTCTTTCCTAAACATCCAAACGCGACGAAAATCATCTCCGACGCCTCGCCATGGGTCTTCGGGCTCATGCTGTAGCGTCATCCGATGGCTGGCTTCGGTCGCTATTCTGGTTTCTGCTCATCTGCTCCAACTTTGGCTATACTGACCAGTAAGTGTTTGTCGCTTCCTCTTCGATTACCGATTTCAGAATCCACAACTTCCTCGATCTGCCCTTCGACGACCCGCTGAATCTCTCGCCGGCCATGCTGCGCAACCACCATCGTATTCGTCGTCAGGAGAAAGATGTAAGGCTTGAACAGTTAGAGAAGCGACATTTAGTGCTCACCGGGACGCCAGTTTATCTGCTACGCCTACGATGGATTGGACGAACCGTATCCGGAATGGCTTCAAAATACCGATGCCAAGGTTGTAACCCCCGTTGATCGACAACGGGCTATTTTCTAGTGCGAAAAATGCAAGACCGATAGCGTATGCAAGGACACAGACAAGGTGGAGACAGCCACCGATGACGTCAGACCTCAAGTCAAGAAAAGCTGTCGTCCCAACCTTTGCGTGAGCCGGTTTTTGTTGGCATAGGTTTTCTTACAGATTGCCGGAGAGAATTGTATCAAACCAGTTGAGCTGAATAGAGGTTTTTATATCTTCGATATTTCTAGTCTGTTCTGTAGGCAAAGTCTACTTCCCCTTCAACCTGTGCACCCGAAAAATGGCGGCGATCGGGGAGTGTGATGACAAGAAATTGTATGAACAATTTCAGTCGCCCTATGTTTAATCACAGGCACTCGGACAAGTACAAGACGGATGGATTTGAATTTACGACGAAATATCTTGTGCAATGCGATGCCGGCTTTGTGGTTCCAAGGTATATAAGCCGGCTGAAGTCTAGGACCCCCCCCCGCCGACTTTTCAACTTTTTTACATTCCTTATTTTTATTTTTCGCTACTTTTTTCGACCATAGACTCGCCTAACCTATAAACCTTTTCGCCCTAGCATATTGTACTGTTCCACCTAGACTCGTCGCTGATGCTGCTCGACAAGTGGATCCAAACAATCGTCCGGCATTTACGTGCGTCCCAAGCCTCCAACAAGCCGCCGGTTTCTTGAAAGAGGACCGATCGCTTCTATACAACGACCCCTACGACGTTCCCGATCTCATGGACTTCACGGTAACATTTAGATAACTAGCGCCGTCGTCAATCTTCAATGAATTTGTTTCGTTGGGATTTCCGCGGGCGGGGGGGGGGCAACTTTTTCCTGTCGGCCTCGGTTGGCATCGAATCAAATATAAAGTGTTTTTACAATGTTTTTAGTAGGTTTTAAGTATATTTGGAACAAAAAATTTTCAAAAGTTTTGGAAAACTTCGAAAACCCCTTCCCCCGCCCGAGAATCCTAAAGAACCATGACTTTCTTTTCAGTACTGTGGAATAGGCGGCCGGCCCGAAAATTCGTCGTGTGAACCGTTACCGCTGTGCGACCCTACAACAAAACAACCGTAGCGGGCAACGATTAATCAAAGATTATTTTTAAAGCCCGGAGTCCCCATTCTCCGAAGACCTGGTGAAACGCGCGACGGAATGTGACGTGCCGTGTGTGTATCGAGGCGCCGACGCCACATACGACGATTGTGTCTTCCTTGACATCCTAGACCCAGACGCAAAGATGTTGTACTCGGCGAAGCGGGCTCACGTCTGTTTCGAGAACTTTTACAAAACCTTGTTTGTTTTTAGTCTGGCCCGTACGCGCAGTTCATGAGCGAGGAAGAGAATCTGCAGCTTGACGTGGTGTTCAACACCACCGCCACCTCTACTGAACAAAGCGACCCCACGGTGAAACCAGAAGCCAACTCCCGCCGAATTCTGAACAAATATCAGGCAATTGCTTGTCGTTGGTCTTTATTTTTTCTTTTAGTTCAACCTCGCCCAGGAGCTCGACGAGGAAGGAGGCCGACGGGTTCGCCGCCAATCCATGACGGAACAAGTGATTCGCTACCCGAAATGCATTGACATCAACGGGCTGTCGGTAAGGCGTAGCGTTTTATGGCATCTTTGTTTTAGACTTATGATCGCAATCGTGTCGAAGCCGATCCGATGCTCGACTGCCGGACCAACGTCTTCTTCAAGGCCAACGGCGCCGAGGAGCTGAAACTGACGCCGCCATCATGCGACGGTGACGATGATGTTGTGGGTAATTTTGGAGCTGCAGCTGAGCGGCTAGGCTGGGATGGCCAAAATTGCATACCGGTACGCACAATGTTAATTTAGCGGATCTGCAAGGGCCGAAGGGAGCCTACAACGGCCCCTACTCCTACCACAGCCGGACCCGAGGACGACCCTTTCCTGTCCACGACAATGATCGGTAGTCGTTGATCCAACCGGACACTTCATATTGCAGTCATCATCGCCGCCGGAGCTTCCATCCTCATCTGCCTTCCTTGTTGCTATGGGTGTCATCTAATTTGGAAAGCGTGGGCGTTTAATCTTTCCGCCTGGCCCTGGCCCTGGGGGGTGCTAGACTCTTACCCATTTTTGGTCAAAGTCACTAGCAGTTGACTGTTCAAGCATTTTTAATTTATCGATGGTTGTTTTTAGCGAAAGGCTCAACAAAAGAGACTAGAAATGGTTGGGTTTTCTTTATCGGACCGTAAGGAACCCCTAGGAAAAATTCCAGGATACCAGAAACCGAGCCCTCTCCGTTGCCATCGGCTCATTTCGCTGATACCGTGAAGCTGGTCGACCAGGAGATTTTTGGCAGCTGGGGAGCCGCTTTCAAGGAAAAAGTATGACTTCCGATTTGAGCCAGCCATGCTGCTTAGATCAATGGGAAACCGCCACGAATGCCGCAGAAGCAACCGGGATATGCAAAAACTGGTCACGTGGCGCTACGCGTGGTGGGTTTGGTCGTTTGTCCTAATCTTTGATTTTCCGCCTATACTTACCTGCTAACAACAAATTTATTTTTCTCTTTTTTTCAAAAGTTTTCGATTGCTGGAAAGTCAAAAAATATTTGTTTGAAAATCAAAAATTTCATATTTTTTTTAATAATTTTTCATAGATTTTTAGCCAAAAATGCAAATTTTTTGAAAGTTATTGTAATTTTTCTATGGTGTGATCTAAAAACTGCGTACTATACTATAAAAATGGTTTTGATTTTGTTATAGAGCCGTACAGGTTTTCCGGGGGAAAAAATTGGCCCCTCCGTTACCAGGGAATTTAATATTTCATATTTTTTTTACTAATTTTTCATAGATTTTTGGCCAAAAAATGCAAATTTTTCGAAAGTTATTGTAATTTTTCTATGGTGTGATCTAAAACTGCGTACTATACTAAAAAATGGTTTTGATTTTGTTCTAGAGCCGCACAGGTTTTCCGGGGGAAAAAATTGGCCCCTCCGTTACCAGGGAATTTAATATTTCATATTTTTTTTACTAATTTTTCATAGATTTTTGGCCAAAAATGCAAATTTTTCGAAAGTTATTGTAATTTTTCTATGGTGTGATCTAAAAACTGCGTACTATACTAAAAAAATGGTTTTGATTTTGTTCTAGAGCCGCACAGGTTTTCCGGGGGAAAAAATTGGCCCCTCCGTTACGAGGGAAAAACCGAAAAAGCGCTACAAGCGTTGTTTTCTTCCATCCGGCTGGCTAATTTTGTTGGTAAACGCTTACCTGTTTTACAGAACAAGGACACGATCAGGCCGACCCCGAAGGACCAGGTGATGCACTTGTTCTAGAGTCATTGGGGTTTTACTTTAGTGCTGGGCCGCGAGCAGGGGCTCAATACTTGAGCTCGAGCCGGCGCATGTCGCGCAAAAAGTCTTCGACGTGCTGTCCCAAGACTACTGGGTGACGGCGGAACCGGTGGGCAGCTAAAATCCTACTATATATAAAAAATAGTGTCTGTGTGTGCGTGTGTGTGCCACTTTGCACCCACTTCCGTATCGTTGTTCCAGTCATATCGCAAGAAGGGTAGAAATTTAAGGGGCGTATGATACGTCATTAGGTGCGTAATGGTCTTGAGATGACTGCACACATATGCTATCTTTTAAAATTACCTATTTTCGATATTAAATTTAAGTTTTTGCGAAACCTTATTTGTTAGAAAATAATTAGCATAGACCGGAAGCAGGGAGTCCGCTATATAAAGGGGCAGAAGAGGTGGTTTTTCATTTTTGGTCATCTGAATTCAGGAAAATTATGCAAAGTGAAGATAAAATGGGCTCAACCCTGGTACTTTCTAAAAATATCTAAAAAGGGCTAAATTTGCTTATACGGTCACCTACTCAAAACCCAACTTTTGATATGTCAAAATGCTCAGCAGGACGTGCTGGTGCAAGATCCATTGAGAAAACTTGGCGGCCAAAGCTCTATCTCGAGATACATGACTTCGAAGTTGGCTAGTGTCGTATCCGGTCACCAGGAATCTTTCTGAATCTCGCAAAATGCTTAGGCTTAATGCAAAATGTAGAACAGGTTTAAGCGGGGCCAGGGTTGAAAAGTGGCGGAGCGGCTTTTCAACCCCGGTACTTTCTAAAAATCTTTACTTCTGAAACTCTGAGGAACTGGCGTACTGCCCTTTAGTAGTAATGATTTTTTGAGCTGGTTTTCAGCTGAAATCAGCTGATTTTGAATGTTTTAGGACTCGCCACAACCCAAGATGAGAGGCCCAAACGGTGAAACGATCCCGTCGCCTAATGAGGCCGAGGTACAATTGGTTCTGGACTGTTAGCAGGGGGAGGCCAAAAATTTTTCCGATAATTCAGTGCAACCCTATAACGAAATATAGAATTTTTTATGGAATTTTACGTAGTTTTTACAGCATTTTTAAATTTTTTTTTATTTTGCGGTCAAAAATGTAACAAAATAATGACCAACGCTCAAAAATTTCGCATTTTCAAAATTATTAAAATTGTTTTTTTATAACTTTCCAGAATTCAAAAAGGACGAAAATCGCGAAAAATATACTGATTTTTAATAACAGGTAGTGGTAGCGGAAAAACGAAAATTAGTGCCCGCCTGCTAACAGTCCAGTATCAATTCGAACGTCTAAATTTCAAAATCCATAAGTTCTTGGTTATCGAGACTGCAACAACAGCATCTGGTTCAGTTTCGGCTTCCGCCGCACGAAAACTTTCATCCGCCCGAGCTCGTTGTCCTTTTCAATTATGCGAAAGAGTCCGCCAAGAAGAGGAGGGGTGTCATCCACGTGAAAGGGCCTACCTGGGTTGTTGCTGACATTCATGGAGACGTAAGCGTTCGCAGTCATTGTCATTGTCAAGCGTTGTCAACGCCTGGTTTTCACGGAATTTCGTGTTACAGTTCAACACCCTTTGGCGCATATTCCATGCCTACTCGACGATGGCGATTCCCGGCCAAAAGTTGGTTTTTTTTTGTGGTTAGGAATCATTAGTGTACTTTTATAATGTTTTTAGTACTTTTGATTTCTAGAAAGTTATAAACATATTAAAAAAATTTGTGGGATTTTTGGAATTTCGGAATTTCGACCATTTTTCATTTTCACCAGGGTTGAAAAGTCGCTTCGCGACTTTTCAACCCCGGCGCCCTCTGAGCCCATAATATGCTGCACATCGCATAATTCGGCCGAATTTCGATGAGAAATATTGAAAAAGTATTCTCTTCGCTGTTATATAGGCTGCCGCCACTTCCGCTTATGCTAATTCATTCCTAACAAAGAGGCTGTCCGATTTTTTAACAAAAATTGATTTTTAATGTAGAAAATAGCATAATTTGCAAAATCTGATATGCGTGCAGTCATCTCGGTTTCATTACGCACCTAATGACGTATCATACGTAGCCTAATACCCTTCCCCCCTTGAGATATCCTCCGGACACCCTGACGGAAGTTGCATGCAAAGAGGCACACACACACAAACACACACAAACACTAGTTTTTTTATATACAGTAGGATTTTCATTTTTGAGCAAAATTTCACAAATCTGGTTTTGTTGTTTCTGTGTTTTGCATGTGGTTTTTCAGTTCGTTCAACAAAATTTAATGTTTTTGTATGTGGTTTTTATATCTAAACACTAGGTAAAATTTTCTAAAAATGGGTGGTATTTCGCTATAGGACCGTAGAGAATTACAGGGAGAAATGTGGTTCCCCCGCTAACAGTCCAGAACCAGTCGTCTGGTTTTGGCGAACCAAAGCCTTCGAAAAGCCTCTGCTCTTTGGGTTCCTCCACATCCACCTTTCAGCATTGTCTTCCTTGGCGACGTGCTCGACAAGGGTCGTCGTCCCCTCATGTGTCTCGTGTTCATCGTGGCTGCCACCGTGCTATATCCAGAAAAGGTGTAGTCTTTCTTGGAGGCCGCGCTCACTCGGCCTGTCAGGTGTTCTTCATCTCCGGAAATCACGAGACACCCATGGGCTATGGGTCCCTTCTTGAAGATGACGTGCTCAACAAGTTCGACCGTCCAGCGTGGGAGGCAATCGAGTCATTCCTCACCTTTCTCCCGTTCGTCGGCACGATCGACAAGCGGATCCTAATCATGCACGGCGGGCTTAGTTAGTTTTCCTATGCTTACATCGCGGGTGCCTTATGGTTAGCCTACCTAAGGCTTAGGCTTAGGTAGGCTTGGACTGGGGCTTTAGCTCAGGCATAGGTAGGTTTTAGACTTAGAGGCATAAGCTTGATCTTATGCGTAGGCTTAGACGCATTAAGCCGTTTGACTTTGCAGGCCCCTTGCTCACCAAAAAACACCTCGAGAACGGCGTGGACATGACCGACGGATCGGAGGAGATTCAACGGCTGCGCACGGGGGTACTCTGGAGCGATCCGAAGTATACCGACCAGGATGACCCGACGTAGCCCCGGACGATCATCACCAATCGATTCTTATAGCTACAAGTTTAATGACGTGCGCGAAATTGGACATTTCTACAACGAGAAGGCGGTCCGGGAAAAGCGCCAAGAGCTCGGCATCGACTACATCATTCGGGGACACCAGGTACGACAAACGGCGATAGTTCTCTGGGGTTTCAATGTCTCCAGGAATTCCATACGGCAATATGACGAAATACAAGCCATTTTCATCGAATTTTACGCAGACTTTGGACATAAAAACTCATAAAAAATTATCAAAATCAAGTTATAAGCAACTAGTAATTTGGGTTTTTTGGTCAATCACTTCTATCAATCAAAGACGGCTAACTAGCGGGGTTACTGTCAAAATAGCGAAAATCATAATGTCGAAATTGACATAGGCAAATCTCCGAGAAACCCCCAGATCCGTAGCAAAAAAAGGCAAAAACGGTCGTCTGTCTGAATTTCGACATTCTGAAATTTCGACAATATCAGATTTTTACCGTATGAATTTTGGTCATTTTTCGTCGAAAAAATCTTGTTTTTTCCTTACTTTGTCGCAAAAATATTCTGCTATGTTTTTCCTAGGAGATCGAAACTGGCGTCGCTTTCTTTGGCGAATGGTTGATCTCGCTGTTCACGACACAAACCACATGCTTAGACCCACATACGCAGCCAAACACGCAGTTTCCGGCAAGTTCAGTTACACTATTCCACCGTGTTTTTCATCTGCAGTAAAGTTACTTGCGGGTTTTAGCGCAGCTTCGGCGCCATTCTCCGCTATGAAGCCGGCCAATTCACCTTCGTGCACTTCATCTCCCCTCTCACTGATGTCTCAGGTCAATTTGTTGGACGCGGGTCAATTGGAAAATTTCGAAATATGGTATTTTCTAAATTTCATAATTGACCAGGGTTGAACAACCGCTTCGCGGCTTTTCAACCCTGGCCCCGTCTTCTCCAATTATATTCTTGGCTTTGCATAATTTTCCCAGATTCGGATGACGAAAAATGAAAAAATGCTCTTGCCGTCCCTTTATATAGGCTACCGCGACTTCCGGTGCATACTAATTTGATCCTAACAAATTGGGGTGTCCGATTTTCCATGAAAAACTTAATTTTAATGTAGAAAACATCATATTTTGTAAAATCTAATATGTGTGCAGTCATCCCCAGCCCATTACGCACCTAATGACGTATCGAACATACCCCTAAGTACTTCCCTTCTTGAGATACTACTGGAACACGGTGACGGAAGTTGCATGCAAATGCACACACACACACACAGACACTATTTTTTTATATATAGTAGGATGCCGAAATTTCCTACAATGAATCGTGTGGAGATTCAGAATGTCGAACTCCAGGCCTTAAAATTCGAGTCCAGAAATACCGACTAACTCAATAGTGAATCTTTAATAGTTTTTTTTTGTAAAATATAGCAATGTACAATAAAACAATAGAAACTAAAAAAATGTCAGTTCAAATTCTCGTCTACAAATGTTTTTTCTAATTTTTTTTATAACACGACCATCTGACTTTTTTGACGTTTAGTGCAAGTAAAAAACCCTAGAAACACTTCCGCTATACATACTTGAAAAGATTTTCTAAGAAAAAAGTTGGCTGCACCGTGGAAAAGTGGAAACGCCGGATGTTTAGAGGTGGCCCACTTCGACCAGTACTTCGCTCGCGTTGACGCGCACGAAGCATTTGGAAAGCGCCGCCGCAACGGGTCCAAGCGCAATAAGCCCGACGAGCAGCCGAAGGAGAAGCCGACCGAAGCGAAACCGGCGGATCCGGCGCCTCCGGTAGGGGTTGGGTCGAGTTACGAGGCCGACAAGTACAGGGAACTGACACATGAACAGGGAGTCCCCACAAAAAAACATCGGCGTTGGGCCGTCTTCCATCTAACAGTAACAGTATCTAACATCGGCGTTGGGCCGTCTTTCATCGTCTTCAAGTAAGCGGGTCCGAATTTTAGCGATGCGGAGGCGTAAAACTATATGCAACCAAATTTTCTAAGTAAAATATTGTAAAACAAAAAAGTTAACGCCAAATCAATATTTTTGGCAAGCGCAGTCTCCCTGTTCATCTACCTGTGTGTAAAGTATATCAAAATACTCGCAGAGCAAGTCGAACATTTTGGTATACGTTACACACCTGTAGATGAACAGGGAGCGGAGATACAAAACTCGGGCGCCGGCTGGGGGTTGGGTGGGGGTAAACTGCACTCTAAACAGATTTTTTGACGAATCCCGGGGATTTTGACCGATTTCAACCGCGAAATGGCCAGCAAAAATGATGTCGGCGCACTTTTCTACCTCAGGAATTAAGAGAGAGTTAAAAGATACTTGGAACACTCTCTTGATCGACGACATCACTTACTAACCTTTTTTCAGTTGGATGATCGTACCCTCAAAGCCTCTCGCAAATAAACGTCCGCAACGCAGATACCCGGACACTCGAACGCACTGACTACGACAATCACTGACAAGGCCATTTCTCTCTTGTGTGCATGTGAATAAACGAGTCGTCTGGGCCATGGTTAATGGTACTGTAATGTACTGCATATGTACATGGTTTATCAGGAAACAATCGGAAAGGTAGATGTACACAAAAAAGGGTACTGAACTGTTAGCGGAGGGGGGATTATGTTAGTTTTTTCCGCAGATAAACGCGATTTTTAGCGTCGTCGTTAGGAGTTTTTCGTTGCTTAAACCTTCCGAAAAAAATTTTTGATTCCAAAAACTTCGATGTTTTGCATGCACCAAACTTCATAAATTTTGGAAAAAATCCTATGAACTGGAAAAATAATTTGCCCCCCACCGCTAATAGTTCAGTACCCAAAACGGGAGGAATTCCGAGGAAGATGATGATGACGATGATGAGACATGTTCGCGATACCGGCCACGGGAAGTTTTGGAAAGGGGGTTGCTTGCAAGAAGGCTGCCTTCTAAAACGCGGCCAGCTGCCGGATGAGCCCGTCTAGGAAAGCGGTGATCCGGTCCATTGATGCTGGGCAAAAGTGCTTCTGCAGCTCGTCCTGAAGAATCGAATATTTTGCAAATTTCCCCCACCCAAGTCAAGCCTAACTGTAACCGTTTTTTGTTGACCGTGGGATTTCGATACGTGAGATAGCACATTTTGTGCAGAATTTTTCGCTGATTCCGAATCCGTTTTCAAAAGTTGCGGAACCCCTCGATATAAAAAGTTACAGCCGGTTTTCTACCCCAAATGACCGAAAATTACAAACTTTAAATCCTTATAAAAAACTCGTGGAACATTTTGTGGGATAAAATACAGCACTCCTCGGGGTAAAAAAACGTGCTCTTTCGAATGGGCCACCTCACGAACCCGTAGCTCAAAATTCACAAAATTTCAAAAATGGGCCATCCAGGGCATTGGTCCACCGAAAACCTTTTTTTCATGAATTTTGAGCTACGGGTTCGTGAGGTGGCCCATTCGAAAGAGCACGTTTTTTTACCCCTAGGGGTGCTGTATTTTATCCCACAAAATGTTCCACGAGTTTTTTATAAGGATTCAAAGTTTGTAATTTCCGGTCATTTGGGGTAGAAAACCGGCTGTAACTTTTTATATCGAGGGGTTCCGCAACTTTTGAAAACGGATTCGGAATCAGCGAAAAATTCTGCACAAAATGTGCTATCTCACGTATCGAAATCCCACGGTCAACAAAAAACGGTTACAGTAAGACCAATCTAAGCCTAAGCCCATGCCTAGCCTAAGACCAAGCCTAAGCCTAAGCCTATGCCTATGCCAAAGCCTAAGCCTAGCCTCCTGCCCGTCTCTTCAATAAACAACCTGCAACCTGCCAACTTACATAGGCAAATTTCCGCCGTTGCTGTGCGGTGTCCAGGGCCAGCAGGTCGTCCAGCTCGAGCTCAACGCCCTAAAAACCAGATTTTCTTTGAAAATACGGCCGAATACACCGATTACGCCGCCAAAATCCGGCCAGAATCATCATGTGGGACTCACATTTTCATCCTTCCCCCCGTACAGCTTCGTCACCTCCTCCTCCACCCAGTTTTCCACCTGAAAATGCGATTTTTTTTGGCTCGAAATCGCCGAGAAAATCTAGCAGAGGAATTTGTGGACCGGCGAGTAGTACCTGCATCCGCTTCCGGATGAGCACCATCTGCTGTTTGCCGTACTTCATCGTCAACACCCGGCTGCGCTCTATCTGAAAAGTTGCGTTGTAAAACCGAGCAGGCAGGCTAGCAGGGATTATTTAGGGACCCTGAGCAGCTACTCACCCGTCGCTCCTCGCGGTCGCCGAATCGGGCATGTTTCGGCTCTTCCGTCATTGGATTCTGAAATTCGATATTTGCGGAGAATTTAAGATTTTGTTGAAGGAAAGTAACAAGAAAGAAACTTTCGAAATATCTCTGCTGTCCTGCCCTCTCCTATTCCTCAACAATCTCTGCTAGCCTGCCCTCTCCTATTCCTCAACAATCTCTGCTAGCATGCCCTCTCCTCTTCCTCAACAATCTCTGCTAGCCTGCCCTCTTCTCTTCCTCAACGATTTCTGCTAGCCTGCCCTTCTAACAAGTATAACTTACCAACAACAAAAAAACGTTTATTTCAAGTGTTAGGCTGGGCCGTGTATGTGTGCCTGTGGGGTACTTGGAGGGTTAGTACACGGGGGAAAGCTTGGGCAAATAATCCTCGGGACGAACCCCCCATCCGGTTCATCTGGGCGAGCGATGATTGCTTTTTCGGAATCTGAGGCAAAAATTGGGAAATGAAGTCGTTGGAATGCGATAGTATCATGCTAGCAGAGATTGTTGAGGAAAGGTAATCTAGCAGAGATCATTTGAAAAGCGAGGCTTGGCCTAGGTTAGGTTTAAGCTTCGGCTTAGCTTATGTCGAGTAGTAAGCCCAAAAAACCCGAACCAACCCACTGACGTCCCCAATCACGCTCAACGTAGAGACCATCGATTTTTGAGCACCAAAAATGAAAACAAAAAGAATTGCTTGAAATGAAATTGCCAAGCCTTGGAAAGGCTTGACATCCGTCCTTTTGGTCCCACCCAAAAAAAAAGCCGCCGAAAAACAGCCGAATAATTTATTGGGCGCCGCATTTCCTGAATTTCCTTGTTAGGGCCCGAAACGGAAGAGCATGAAAAAATGTTCTCCAAGAATCTCTGCTAGCCTGCCAAGTTCAATTTGCTGAAGGCTGGGGGCATGGCATCAGAAATTCATTGCCGATTGACTCGAAAAACAGCACCAGAAACCCCGGCAGAAAGGGCAGGTTAGCAGAGATTGTTGATGAAGAGGAGAGGGGCAGGCTAGCAGAGATTGTTGAGGAAGAGGAAAGGGCAGGCTAGCAGAGATTGTTGAGGAAGAGGAGAGGGCAGGCTAGCAGAGATTGTTGAGGAAGAGGAGAGGGCAGGCTAGCAGAGATTATTGAGGAAGAGGAGAGGGCAGGCTAGCAGAGATGGTTGAGGAAGAGGAGAGGGCAGGCTAGCAGAGATTGTTGAGGAAGAGGAGAGGGCAGGCTAGCAGAGATTGTTGAGGAAACCAATGGCTGGCATGTCATCTTTTCGCCTCCCACAGACAAACGATTAAATTAGCGAGCCACGGAATCGGATTTTAGGCCCGCCCGCCCTCGGGGAAACGTGAAATGTTTCTGTTTTCCCAAAAAATCTCTGCTAGTTGTCCAGTAGCAAGCAGGCAATTTTCCCAATTTAAAAACCCGGTAATCGCTAGGATTTTTCCTGCTGAGCGAGAGTATTTTCCGCGAGCAGGACGGACAAGGCCGAACGACGGCTGGGCGGTAAAATGGAAAGAAATGGAATGGCGGCAATGGGGGAGGGGGGATGAGCCGCAGGGGACCTGAAGGTCGGCCCCCGGATAGGTGCCGGTTCAGTGAGTGTTCAGTCGATGGTTGCGTGCATTTTTGGAAAGCCGTACGCAGAGGGCAGCCTAGCAGAGATTATTGAGGCAAAATAGAGAAACACGCATTGAGATTTAGCTCGTCCGGTAAGGCCAACTAGCAAAGAATATTGGCGAGGGTTTACGGATACGCACGCGTGAAAACTTGACCTAAAAACCTAAGCTCCCAGAAAACCCCCGTGGTTTCCGCAAGCATCCCTGCTGGCATGCCGTGAGCTGATCTCGAGGGGATTTCTCGAAAAACGGGGGCCAAAACCCAACACACTGGGCAGCGAAATGAATCACGGCGAGAGCACCTGTTAGCAGCCCGTGGTCCATTTGGCCCGAAAAAGCAAATAAATCCACAAGAAACCATTTCTTCCCGTTTCAAGGCGCCCACAAACCTGCAAACTCGCTACGTTAAAATTTTGTGGACCCTTGCCCTTTATTTTTCGTTTTCAGCCAACTTTTAACCTATCTTTTCTTTTCGCTTAAAGTAAAATTTTCTAAATAAAAAATATTTTTTACAGCTAAACTTTTCAAAATTCAGAACTTTGGTCGAAAATAGGCCATTTTTGGTCGAACACTCATATTTTCTAATTTTTAATGAGACGGTAAAGCTTTTGCGTTTAGGACTAGTAAAAATTAGTCCGCTATTCATTCCAGAAAAATTGGATCCAAACGAGAAAAGTAGTAACCTCCCCCCCCCCCGTTAATGCCACAGTACCACCAAAGATGAACCATAACCGAAAAACGGGGTAAATTTCAAAACCCAAAGCCAGTCTGGGCCAGCGGGAAATCCAGGAAAATCTGAAAATGGTTCCCAAACCACATGAATGGCGGCGCAAAACAGCCAACACCTAACCCGCCATTCAAAAGCGAGTCAATCGCGTGCTAATCTTTTTTTTTGCCAGGGCTGGGAAAATCGTTTTCGAATTCGAATTCATTGCAAAAACCTCTAGAAAAACAGCCATGGCTCCAAAACAGCCCGATTCGATGTCGGGGTGGGGATGGGAAGGTATCTAAAAATCCGAAACATGTATTTTTGACCCTCAAAAGACTTGACACATTTTTTATTATTTACAAGTACATATGTGCCAGGGGAAAAGGGTGAATAAACGCGTCACGACGTCCGGGGAGTGTATCACAGTATCGATTCGGGGCATGTTTTAAAGGGACCGTGAAGGCAAAAGGGGAATCTCGGGTTCTGGTTCGTTAGCAGGGGGGGACATTTTTTGTCAATAGATTCTTTTTTTCTTAAGGCACATTACTCGCTGTATACAACACCCCATAGTCAGCGTTATTATTTCTTTAGCTATAATTTCTTTTTCTTTTTTCTCTACCCGCTAACGAACCAGAACCAAAAATCGGAATTATCTCAGAAAATCGCGGGAATTCGAGTAGAGTATTAGGTTACAAGCGTGCGTCTTTTCCGAACCTATTTTAGCGGAATAAAGTCGAAAAATCGAAAAAAAACCTACATTCAAATCACAAAAAAAGGGGGGGGCGATAACCCGTCTTTTTCTCACAAATCAATCGAATAATAAAGGCAACAACGCAGGAGAGGGGGACGCGTCAAATAGATAAATCTTCACTCGACGAGCGTATGGCCCGGAAAAAACGATTTTCGACGCGCTAATGGCTGTGTCCGGAGGCGAGGATGGCCGGGATGACGGCGCCGACGATCATGTAGAACAATTCCTAAAATTGGAAGGTAAAAAGGCTCTTTTGCAATATTGAGGGGGATTTTGTTGTAGATGCCTATAAATGCCTAATACGTAATAGGAAGTATTTTCTTAAGGTTTTTCGGAAAATATAGTATTTCAACTAAAAAAACTATCTAAATAAATTTTATTAATGCGACATTTTGGCCAAAAACGCTTATTTTTTGTGTAAATACCTAAGCCTAAGCCTAAGCTTTGGTATTTTCTAATAAAGGTTGTAAAGTTTTTACGTTTTTTACGATTCCCTAGCCAGAAATCCTTTCAAAATAAAATAAAATAAAAGTATTTAAATAAAAACGACGGTTTTCTGCGCTTGCGATGGGTAAAATTATAAAAAATCTGACACCCTTTTTCTTCTTTTCCCCATTTTAATGATGACAGCGATTTTAGCAAGCCATTTTTCACTTTTACAACAACCCCTCAAAACGCGAACTTTCGTTTTGTCTCCACCATGTTTTTTTCAACATCTCCGAGCCGATGGAAATGAGAAGCCCGCGCCCCCAACCCCCAATCGATCGGCTCTCGCCATAAATTTTCGGCACCCCGTTCCAGCATTATGTCTCCGAATTCGCCAGTCGCTGATTTTCCCCGAAAAATCGAAAAGCCGAAATTTGAATCGCGAAAATTCGGCTGCGAAAATTAAATAGGCGAAACTCCGAATACGTACCGTCATTGAAAATGAGACGCCGTGAGAGTGGGAATGCCGAAGGGTGGACGGCGATTGAATGTCCATCACCAGCAGATCGTAGTTTTTCGACTGGCTTGCCTGCAAAAAGCAGAAAATTCTATGGCTTGATTCAAGTTTACGGTACTCTCCCAAAATGCGGTTTTTTGTGTTCAAATCGCTAAATAAAGGTCAGAAACGGACTCAGCGACAAAAATTAGGTGGCGGAAGCCACTTTTTAGGGGAGAAAACCTCATTTTAGTTTTGAGATCGGGTACCGTAAAGTAGTATACGGGGGTGACTACTTTACGGTACTCGCCCAAAATGTTCCTTTTTCTGCACGAATAGAAGCAGCAAGGTCTGAAACGTATTAATCAGCAAAAATAAGTGGGCGGAAAGGCCTATAAAGGGAAGATTCGGACACAGATTCCATCTCTCAATCACACCCAGTTTAAGCCTAAAAATAAGGCTTCGTGCCATCCCGGGGCCTAGTCGTTTCGGATGGGTGCGAGCTCGTACAGGGTTTCGAAATCGGGGCGCCCGAGGAGCGCGAAGCGCCCAGGCGCCTCGATTTCGAAAGAGTGGAGCGGCAGCCCATCCGAAGCGACGGCCCACCTTGCGCGACATGTCATAAGCCTCAAACTTCGAAGTCTCAAATCACTCATTTTTAGGCCTTTCCGCCAAATTATTTTTGCTGCTTCATTCGTTTCAGCCCTGACTGCTTCTTTTCGTGCAGAAAAACTAAAATTTTGGGCGAGTACCGTAAAGTAGTCACCCCCGTATACTACTTTACGGTACCCGATCTCAAAACTAAAATGAGGTTTTCTCCCCTAAAAAGTGGCTTCCGCCACCTAATTTTTGTCGATGAGACCGTTTCTGACATTTATTTAGCGATTTGAACACAAAACCGCATTTTGGGAGAGTACCGTAA